AGTGAAATACCGAGTTAAGTACAGAACAGGTTCGTTTTCGTAAGGGATAAACACATTCATTCCTTTGGATAATAAAACGACTCTGTCCATACATCTATTCATGTGAAACATTGGAACAAAATTTTGTGCCAATTACAAGTTTTAGCCAGTTTCATTTGACACTATTGCAGTGTAACCTATATATTAATACAAATTCTTGAAACTTCCAACTTTCAGCCAATGTTTTATCAGTTACCAAATCAATCTTTTAGGAGTAACAAACAGCTTCTTTATTTTAAACACAATAACATCTGCAAAATTTTAAATGTTTATTGGTTTCAATATTAAAGCACTAGGTGTATAAGGAGTAGGAATTATGTTCACTGATCACTAGCTAAGAATAAATTTCAGTTTTCGGGCAAGAAGTAAGAATGTCACACTTAGAGCACGGACATCTCTCCTGTCACGTTGGCAAATCACTCTACCAGTCAACACATCTCCTGAAAACACAAAAACTGCTGGGTCATATAATGTGCAGAACATTCCATGGACACACACATAGAAAATATTGAAAACTTTTACAGTTTTTGAAGAACAAACTTACCACAAGCAAAGTTTCTTTTAAGGGTCAAGCACTAATAACAAACTTGACTCACCACACAGTGAAGAGCCCACAGTCTTCCAAGTCTATCTATTGTACTTTTTAAAATAGGAAAGAATTAACAATAAAACAATGGAATAGGTCTGTGTGTGTTTTATTATATACAATTCAGTCTGCCTCATGTTTAAGTACTTTAAGAATGGAGGAAGACATTTAGTTTTATTATATTCTACTATTATGTGAGATGTGGTAATCATTCTTTGGAAATCAATCATATGATCTTACAACTTACCTTGTTTGACAATTATGGGTTCCTCGAGGAGAAATACAGTTTGTTTCCAATGTGTTGGTTTTGCATGTGGACCCGTAGAAAATGAAACTGGATGAGCCAGGTCAAAAAACACATCAAAGTAACCTACAAATGCTGTTATTGACCCATCAGCTATAGCTTCCAGTTTCAGTTCAGATGAAAAATGAAGGCTATTTGTACAGCATGTATTGAGATCCAGTTCTGTCAACAAACACGGTGATGTAATAATTTTGTCTGGAGGCACCACCTCTATTGTTGCTTCTTGAACCACCTCATGCTGAAGACAAGTCATACGATATCCATACACATCTGTCCAGAATCCAACCAGTTCTGCATGGCGATCTACAAAAGAGGCAATTCAGTGTGACCTCTGTGAACTGAGATTCTTCAAATGAACAGTTTATTAGCCCTTACTCTGCTATGCCATCAATATTCTGGTACAAAACAAGCTGTACAATATATATATATATATATATATATATATATGTGTTCAAGGGCTATCCTGAACTGTAAAATTTACACTGTTAAAAATCTTACCAAATTCTCAAGATAAGAAACTTTGTGAAAATGAAGAACTGTTTATGATAACCCTTACATAACAAATGATTGAGCACAAAGTTACAGTCTTAGCACACTAGTATGAAGTACACAGTGACTAATATGCTCACATAAACAAAACCTCTATCATGAGAAGAAGAACATAACTTTTTTTCTATCAATCAGTCGAAGTATGTTCTTGTGCTCAGTGAGAGGCATGAAGTGAAGGCATATGTAAAAAGACAGAAAGGAAAGAGTAAACACATGTACAAGAGGAACTTTTGTGAAAGATGGAGGGAGGAAAAAGGGAAACAACAACTTAAAAATATGTTAAATTTGTTGGCCACTTAATTTCCAGACTAATAGATTTCACTGTGAATGCAAGTATGTTGGGTGGGAATAAACCAAATGTTATGTACATTATACTGAATCAATTCTAAGCTATTTAAAGAACTGATAATAAACATAAGATAATAAGATTATAAAACATAATACCATCTTATTTTTACCTGTGTCTGCCAATCCCACCAAGCTGATGGAACATCTGTTTGGAAGAAGCAGCCCTCCTTCAGCCAAGTGATGGTCTCGAGCATATACAAGGCTGTCCAACATTCCCTCGAAGAGAAGGAAGTAGCCCATCCACTCTGACACAATAACATCTACATGTGTTTGTGGAAGCTTAGTGTCTTCTATGCGACCTTTTATTAACTGGATCTTATCTGACAGCTTATTTTCCCTTTAAAAGAACATAAATCAAATCCAGAACAGTTCATGATAGTTGTCTTTATTCCAATATCCCATGGGAAGATGAACACAGATATTGAGAACACAATTCTGATGAATGTTTGGACTGAAAAATGATGCAATAAAAGTGGACTATTTTCAGAGTGATTAAATCAATAACAATGAGGTGAGCAAAACAAAATGCACACCAGGGGAAACAATAAACATATTTCAGTTGGATTACCTCAAGGGGAAACACCATATGGAAGATTTTGGCATAGACAGGAGGATAATATTAAAATAGAGCTTATAGCACTATCATAGCTGAGGTAAGCAGTTCAGTCTTCCTTATGTCAAAGGAAAAGATGTATTCTTGTAGCAGAAAGTAAACAGTATTCAAAAGCTGGCAGATTTTAAGTTCTACACCTGTATTAGACATAGGATCAGTCAGATTTTCCTGAATTAAACAGAACCACTTTGCACATCTGCGATGAGATGAGAAGTATCTGAAAAAACAGGAAGTGTCCTGCAACAACACTGATCTCCATGCCACATAATGTCTCAGGGAAACATGGAACTCAAATTCACAATTAGGCCTGCCTCATAAAATGTTACTTGAAGTTGTGCAAGAGGGACTAAAACCTGTCTATAACCTTCAGATAAAGATCATGCATGAATCAAAAAGTCTGTTTGCATTATGGCCTTCCTTCACAGAATCTACTTTTTATGAAGCAATGTTCCCATGTGGAAGAGTCAACAGACAATACTGCCATGACAGAATATATGATCATTTTTGAGCACACCATGGTTCCATGAAGATCAATATGTGGACTGTTTTGATAAGAAACAATGTTATTGGTCATTCCTTTTTCGAAGAACCAATGGAGACTGATAAAATCTTTCACACACTGATAAAGAACATTTCTTTGCCCCATATACCCACTGAAACAATGTTCCATTTACATGATGTACCACCTCATGTCTCCCCTGCATTCACACTGTTTTGGACAGGGAATTTCCTGAGCGATGGAATAGGAGGCAAAGAGACATTCCCTGTCCCCCTATCTCCGCAGATTTGACCTCCTCTACTTCTTTTTAGGGATCTGTAAGAGATTGTCTATTAGGAAAGATGCAAAATGTGAATTAGTTGAATGCAAGAAATGTCAGAACTGCAGAATGTGTTATCAAGAATAACTAACTAACTAGCTGGCTTAGGGAACCCGAAGGTACATCACCAAATTAACCAAAGCCCTCCAATGGTCCCTGTCATTATCAAGGATATGCTATGAAAAACCTGGCGAGAAATGAAAAACTGTATTGATGTGTGCATGCCACTAATTTTGCACATACTGAGCGAGGTTTACCTAACAGATAAGAAAGTTAATGAGGTACATTTTCAACATGTATCACTTTTCCCATTATTCAAAGTGACCTAAAATGGCAATAAATTATCATACACACAAATTGCAACAGACCAAGTGGAAGTTTCTTTTATACTAGAAACCAAGAACATTATGATAAAAGGCTGAACCCAGAAGTTCCTTATTTACATCACAATTACCTGACTATATCAATAGCATGGTAAATAATATCTGACTGGTCTATGGCAATAACTTTCCGAGCACCAGCTGAAGCTGCAAACATAGAAAGAATTCCTGTGCCACAGCCTAGATCCAGAAATGTTCTGTCCTTCCACAGTGTACTGTTAAGCATAAAGGCATCTCTGTAGCTTGATGTACGAACATGGTCCTGACAACAAACAAAGACAAATAAATTGTTCACATTCTTCTATATTTTTGTTCATTCACATGTTTTTTAAGCATTACACTTTTATTTAAAATGTCATTTCATTTAAGTGTATATTTTCACACAAAATTAATGAAATCCCACATATGAAATTTGGAGTGGAAAATAATGAACTAATATAATCACATCATACATAATATAATTACATGATAAATTAATACCCATACCTTGTGGTAAACTATACAGTGGTTACATCAGATATTAATCAAATATTATTCTTACTTACTTTACAGTCAATCAAACTTCAAGTCTGGTCAATGTTAACCAACGTTTCAGAGGTCATACTGCCTCCGTCATCGTCCTGATGACGGACGCAGTATGACCTCTGAAACGTTGGTTAACATCGACCAGACTACACAGCGCAACAACCCAGAAGACAGAAATCTTCATACTCACCGCTGTGAAAACCTCAATTCTTACAATCAAACTTCAAGTTGGAAATTTATATGGAGAAAACTATAATTCTTTCAAATATAATATATTATATTTATTCGCATCATCATAACAATTCATTTTCTTTTTACACTTAAACAGTCACAAATAAGAAAATTATGCAGTTTTCTCTTATAATATTCAAGACGTCACAAGTAGCGCATCCAGATTACGATCAGGTTACAGCTATTTGTATTCTCAAATAAATCATTCTGTGAATGATTGTGAATGCATATGATACATCAGACACTAAAATTTTCAAACCTGACTATAAGTTATGGTAACTGATTTCCGACTTACAGACAACATCTCATGATGAATGCTGAAATGAGAGTACGTATTAAAATAACCCTCATCACCTTCCAATTTGATGGCCTTAATGCACTGAGGTAAAGACGAGTTTTCCTCACTTTCTTCCCCTGCCACCAGTTCTTGAGTGACACAGCGCATTTTTTCAATATTTTCCATCAATGTATTTATTTCAAGATCTTTCTCCAATACCTGGAAAAATTATAAACACATGAAGGCATAAAACTAAAGTCGCAAGAAAGAAAACTATGTTGCAATAATAAAACTAAACACTGGCATTGTTAAGCACTTCTTTGTTTGTTTGCTTGTGTGATGATGCTCATGCACTGTTTCCATGTTTGGGATCTGCACCAAAAATAAAAAATGGTTTGTTTTAAATGGAATAGCAAAGCATTAACAATACTGTACCAACTGCATAGAAAGAAGAGGTCACGCCTTATTTTGAGGCAATATACTTGCATTTGCTTCTGAGGTCTGAGATGAACAACATAAAACCAGATAATAGTTGATCTCTTCACCAAAAATCAAATCACAGACTTCACCGATATGAAAGAAGAGTGCTGCCCATTGTACTATTTGTGTGTACTCTTATTTATAAAGGTAAAATTGCTAAAACATTACCATACAGCATTATATGACTATTTTGTGTTTGTTTCCCCAAGTTCCATATCAACACATGCACTGACTAAATTTTGTGTTCTTGTTTTGTGAAAATTTTACATTAGAATTGACAACTAAATTCAGCAATCAATACAAATTTTCTGACAAACTACTGGACTACAACTTTGCTCTAGATTTCAAAGACTGGTGGCTTAAACACTATAAGAAACTGTTCTACTGACTCAGTGTTAGGGATGGAAATCCATCCCCAAAAATCAAAAGTACATTACCGTGTCTCAAGCATTATTTTTTCATATCTACTAATTTTAATTCAGGAGCCAGGATAGCTCAGTCAGTATAGTGACTAGCTACGGGCTGGATGACTAGGGTTTGATCCCCGACAGGGGCAGAGGATTTTTCCTACAGACTCTACGTCCAGACCGGCTCTGGGGCTCACCCAGTCTACTATCAAATGGGTACCAGGGTCCTTTCCAGAGGGTAAAGCGCAGCCGGGGCGTGATGCTGACCACTCATCCCCATCTAGTGCTGAGGTCAAGAATGAGTAAGAGCTATGCCTCCACTTCCCCCAACGACCTACATGGCATGTAGCAGGACGGCTTTACTCTGCTTTTACTAATTTTAATTCAGGAACAGTCTTGCTATAGATTACATCAATGATCTGGCATATTACAACTTCAGTTTCTTGACATAACACTGTACCTGATATTCGCGGAAAAGTAACATTCAATCAAAAAGGACTTAACCATTTTTTTAAAGAAAAATAAATCTTATTCTTATTGGAAATGAAAATAAATGTCTTTAATTTCTAACACATAAAATATTACTACTTTATTATCATACATTGTGTTACTTTTTGTAAAAAAGTGCATATTTCTTTAGTAAAGACTTTGATACATAATAAAGTGGATGACACTGGGTGTCTTGAAAAGTAACGCAAGTCTCAAGGGGAAAATTGAATAATCAAACAAAAACAAAAGTACAAACACAAATCTTCATAAACTAAATTGATGTACAAAATACCTGATTGTAAATCAGTCAATAAACAAGCTATCTCTTTCTGGACTGTAATACAAGCAACATATCCTAGTATAAAACCAAAATCTTTATACTAATTACACATGCAGAAATAATTCAGCTCATTGTATTTGTTACTTGAGACGCTAGGCTCTGAATTGTCCGTTGCAACTCTGCAAAATGTTGTTCTGTCAGAGTAACAAGTCCATCTTCTGCATTTACATGGAAAGCACTATTACTGGGAATTTCAGGAACTGTTATTGGAGAAGGCAATTCAATGTCATCAAAATCTGAAATCAAACAGGTAACACAGTATGCAAAATTGATCATGAGAACAATGGTTCTCAGTTGATATGTGAGTGTAGAAGAAACTGAGTTACATCTGTGCACTAAAACACAGTACAATTTTTATAAAAATCCCAATATGACGAAAATTAAGACTACAAAATCTTGAGGTAACACACCTGATTTTGTGCCTTCCATGCATCCAATAAGCATTCTGTTGATTGTGCTCTTCTGTATTATAAAAACAGCAAAATGAAAGACAGAACAAAGTCTCATGTCATGAACCAAACATTAGAATATGCACTGTGCTTTCTTTTCAACATAGATAGAACTATTTTTCAACTTACCATACATCAACAATGGATCATCAGGCTTTACTGGTTTCATGTACTCTTCTTTTTCCCATACTGGTTCTGTTACACTCATCACAAGAGAAGCATCAGGATGATGTGTACGAACGTAATTCACAAGTTTTATGTAACCATAGCAATCCATACCAAAACGACCTTTCAGCTTTACCAAATCAAAACCATGATCAACGTAACAATGTGAGAGTACTTCAGATATTGTTTCATACACTTGAGGACAAAATAAACAACTCATATGTTCTGTATTGTAATCTTCCACATCAAATTCCTTCCAATCAGAATCATCATCAGAATCTGCAGAATCACTTTCACAGCACAGAACTGGAACACCTGTAAAAATATATTATCCTGCAGGTTTTGTGCTCATAGTATACAATTTTACAATACAGTTTATCAAGGACTGGAATTGAATGGGACATATTGTCTTCTGCTGTTCTGATGTTAATTTCTTGAATGAAAACATGCCATAAAGAAAATCAAGGAAACTATCAGCTGCTAGTAAAAAGGTAGGCATAGAAGTAAATGCAGAGAAAACTAAAATATATGTTCATGTCCTATAACCAGAGTGAAGAAGAAAATAATAATACACGGATTGCTATAAAATACTTAAAACAATATGGCAAAGTTCAAATATTTGGAAATGACAGTTAACAAATCAAAATTACATTCATAAAGAAATTAAGAGCAGATTAAGTTCAAGAAATTCTTGCTAATGCAATGAAGTTCAGAATCTTATATTTTTCTGTCTCCTATCTAGAACCATAAATTTTAAAATAAAAAAATTGTATTTCGCATATTATTTTGTATTGATTTAACACTTGATTTCTCACCCTACAAAAGGAACATTGACAGAACAATGCGCTAGGAACATTTAGCCCAAAAAGACAAAATAACAAGAAGATGGAGAAAGTTACTTAATAAGAAATGCTTACAAAATATTAGGTGAAACCTAAATACTAAAGACCACTTTGGAGATTGTGCATAAATGGAATAATAATATTAAAATGGATCCTAAAGACATGGACTGTGTGAAGTGGGCTGGATTCATATAAGTTATAATAATAAATTCATTAATAATATCTTCTGTACTAAATTCTTGGGAATTATGATTGATGGTGCATTAACTTGGAAGAATCATATTGATCTACTTATTAAAAAATTGAGCAAGGCTTGCTATGTAATTAGAAATATGAAACCATATATGTCTATTTCAGTACTAAAGACAATTTATTATGCTTTCTTTCATTCCTTAATGAGCTATGGCATCATTTTCTGGGGAAATTCATCTAGTAGTTACACTATTTTTCTCCTTCAGAAAAAGGCAATTAGAACAATGATGGGATGTAGCAATAGAGTATCGTGTAGAAATATATTCAAAGAATTAGATATCTTACCGTTGGCATCACAATATATATTTTCTTTATTATTGTTTGTATTACAAAACAAAACTCTTTTTCCATCAAACATTGACTCTCATACTATTGATACTAGACAGAGAGAAAATTTGTATCTACCCCAAGCCAATCTAACTATTTATCAGAAAGGAGTTCACTATGCGGGTATAAAGATATTTAATAAATTACCCACAGAGGTTAAGAATACCTCAAATAATTTTAAAAAGTTCAAGGTTGCATTAAGTATAAATATATAATATATAGGACAAGGTATCATGGTAGGCTTTTATAAAGATGGTAATGAAGTTGTGAGTTACATAAAATACACAGAATTTGTGTTGTTTTTACATGGAACAACACAAATCTAACAGCAACATCAACTACAATAACCTAAACTCATAACTTAGAAGACTCACTATTATACAACATACTCTGATCACAACTTTCCACAGATTTCCTTAACAGTCTACAGACAGCTTCAAAACCTGAGAGCATAAATAAGATAAAATATCAACAAGAAACTACACATATAATATAACACCTGACTTCTATCCCTTCAATTTAAAAACTACTTAAAGCTGAAAATATAATACCCTACAAATATTTCAGTTGGGACTTACATGATTCCTAAAGGATCATATTTTGAAAATTTCAACTACTCCAGGCTCTGACCCATTTACAAGTTTTTATATACCCTGGACTATAATATTATGAGACCTGGAACCCATAGTGAGGCTTTGACAATGGCCACACACAAAATAAATCTCTTTAAAGCTGATCTTTCACCCAGATACTGAGTGTACTTAATGTGAAGTTGCGGATTACGAGAAAGGGGATGAGCAAAACATCAAGAAATGGCCGTGGTGCAAGGGTACATTAAGAGCACACCCCATTTAAAACAAACCAAACAATCTGGTTTTCATATCAATTACCATGTACAGTACTTATATTATGTATAAATTCGCAAGTTAAAACACATTTCAAGCAACCTTATGGGTGTGCTTATCATACTGCACGCTTACAAAATAGGTTAGCAGTAGTACTCAACATCATATAATACGAACGGTAAAATGTAATACAGAAATGGGACTGTTAAATTTTTTTAATAATAATTACAAAACTCAACAGTAAATACATAAAAATCTAGATCTGTCAAATTAAACCTTGCGTTACAAGTACATGATTTACATAGAACATACTTTCACCATCTGCCATTGCGTAACATTAATGTACTTGTGTTACTGTGGTTCAGAAACTCATGCGACCTGTGATGACCGAATTATCTTGTTCCGCCATCTATCCGCAGCGGTAGTAAAACTACTACATAACACTCTTGTAGGAACAATCGATAAAAACGTTAACTACCATTCAATTTACTCAGGCCTCAACACCAACATACATTTCATAAACAGGAACAGTTAATTTTACAAATCTGAAGAAGACTGACTTCTTGGATGTTATGTAGTGTTGTCTGGTAGAAACTAACCGACGTTTAAAGGTGCTTACTATCTCCATCATCAAGGTATCACCCTGATGAACAATGCACATTTGTGGAACCAAGGAATTACTATTGACCAGGATGTTTTGGAATGAACATGAAATTTGGGAAACTCTATTTGAAAATCAACAGATATATATCTGTCACCATGAGAAGCTCTCATGCTTTATGTTACTCATGTGGAGCTGAGATTGCTGACAAGGATCCTTAGAAAGGATGGGACACTTCAGAAAATGTTTCTAGCTCACATACTTTAGGGTCATATATTCCTACAGACTGAATGCCAATTTGTAATAAAGTTACCTTTACTAACAAATTATCTGAGTAGTAGTAAAACACAATATAAAACTATGTATACTTCATACACTCTCACAAATATAAACACAATCAAAATAAAATGTTGCAACAAATACAAGTTGTTGAACAGTTTCAACTCTTATTTATAAGCCATGCATTACAGCCAATGCAACTGAAATTATGCTTCATGAACTGCCGGTGCATAATCATTGTTAACATAATTAACTTTGGCACATGAATAATTGAAGATGTTTAAACATAGTTTAAAGCACATCCCCTACTGGGGGAAACTGCCAATGAAATAATCAGAATTCAGTATATTTACAAAAATTTACTCATATCAGTTTACCTACGTTACGTAAGAAATGTATCACTTGTAATACCAATGGGTAAAATCAGAGATATTCTTGGATACATGAACACTGCATCACATTTATTAATTTTTAATATATGCTAGAGAGACATGAAATCTACATCAGAATAACAAAAAGCTGGTAGATACTTGCTATCTGCTAAGCTGACATTTTCTTTGCCAAAGGGTTGATGGAAGTGCAATGTTATACAATTTAGAAATGGTAACAAGTATGTCATTAGTACCACTTATGGAATGGCTCATGTTTTATACGACATCCTTAAATTAGAATATAAGTATTAAAATACTGCTAACAATATTATTCACATTCTGGCTTCAAAAATAATATTGAAATATAAAAATTCAATGCCTTTCCAATCGGATCTCTGGTAGCCACTTTCCAATAACAATTATTCCTTTCGACACATAATTGCATAGAATGGTAGAATAAAATTAATTTCCTTTCACATTCTCATGCTTCAATGTTGCATTATCAAGAATATAATCAGGTACTGCCAGAAAAGTATCATAATTCAAATGGATCTTTGTGAAATACTTACCATTCCATGACAAAATAATTTTAATGGCCCTTTCTTAATAACTAATGCACAGTAATCAATTAGTAGTGTAAAGTAAAGTAAATATTTCAAAATACACTGAAGCACCACAATCATTATTGTTCTTGGGATTAAATCAAAAATTGAGATGGGTCAAATGCAGCACACAAAGAAAATACAAATGCATAAATTCAAATAAAATCAGACCACTTGATTGTCTGATGTGCAGCACTTTTTCATAGGGAAAAATGTTGCAGTACTCCAAGGTCATATCTGACAATTTTATTCTATTTTGAGAAAAAGTGATGGTACTGCATACTGCCACAAACACCACTGATAATGATAAGCAGAAGAACAATTTGTAAAATGAATACTGGAGACATAGCTGATTTGAAATTATTACAGACTGAGTCCAGTGTTGGACAATTATTATGGAATTTTCAGTGACTGTCTACTGCAAAAATACTGGCTACTCATGATAGACTCAATAAGTTTATCTAACATACTTGTGTATTTTTACTTTGATACAAATCTTCTAATTTAAAAGTTGTTTGGTGAATACAGATGACTGGCAAACACATCACTATTAGTGACTATCATTATTTACAGAAAATAGTTGTATTTCTATAAATAAATTAGTATTTAAGAAAAGGTTTAACAATTTTCCATTTAGTTCACTGTTACAAAATTTCTGCTTTCATCAAAACAAATTTCTACATTTTTCATTATCACACATATGAAATCTACAAGCAGTAACCAATAACCTAACTTCCACACCATAAAATGTGCAATACATCCTTAACTTTTACATTTCTGAATAAACCACATCTGTATTATATATCACTGAGAATATGTAGTCTGTTTATCATTTTATTTTTGTTACCACCAATGCATGGAGTAATTTTACATAACACTCCATAATCTACTGTACTTTCACCATTAGAATAAATATTACTAGAAATACATGCTGCCATACTACAAGTTCTTTTAAGTATCAATTTCTCATATAAAACTAAGGATAGATTTATGAACAAATGTATAGTTTATCCTAACTTGCTACCTGAGAGGTGGAATATAATTTGTGCATGACACATTTCTGCTACTGCTCCTATTCCTGGGCTACAGGCATCATTATTGTCAACGTGTTCTCAACTATTAACTGTCATGCATGTAATATGAACAAAATTACTTAAATTACAAATACAAAAAACTATGCTTATTTATGTGATATATCAAATTTCTGAAACGGGAATGACCTACCCATTTCAATAAGTTGACATTTGAAAATTTGAAGCCCCTCACAGGGCATGATAGCCGTGATGAATTCATAAGAAACCAGGTAATTAAACTGTCTTATTTAATACCTGCATGTACTTTGACAGCATTACTGTAACCATTTTACACCCATATATTTGATCACACCTGTCTTCAATTCATATGCAAGCTTGCACTGTATGGACAATTATGTTGTAACTACTGTTTTCAATTCCAAATTTCAAAACTGAAGGAAGGGAATTGCATTGTTATGACAGAAGATGTGTTTAGTTCAGTGTGGCACTGCTGTTTAAAAATAAGTTTATGTATTCCAACCTGAAATACTACACACACTTAGTAAAATTCACAAAACTACTAAACAGGAAGAACAATTAATTTAAAAACTGATTTCTCACATAGCTTTGACTCTGTAGGGTTGAATGCCTCTGTGAGGATTTATAATAACCTGCAATACAAACTCTGTAATATTTCAGTATGGAAGTAAAAATAAATACCTCTAATATCACTTCATAACAAGCACTGTAAATAGAATTTTTTGCAAATTACATTGTATGGACAAGGAAGATTATGTGTCATTGACTGTGATGAGAGAATGATTACACATTCTTAACTGGTAAGAGTGTGGAAGGAAACAATCTAATAGAGATGGAAAAGTTTTGTTCTGAACACTTTATGGCACAAATGCAGTACCCATTCCACAAAATATGTTAGAGCATGTCACATTATGATGATATTACTTTTGGAAGCACATACAGAAAAAGGTAAAATCAGCAACATTAAGATTAAACTTACACTTCACTGACAGCATAAATCAGAATTATAATAATATCCTGACTTTAATAGAAACAATGGTATAACACAAAAATGGAAAACAGTGGCTATTGCTGACTGCCTGATGGTATTAGTATGACAGGAAAATATATTAACTAGTCACATTTAAATATCTTCATAATTTAATCAAAGAATTTTTACTTAAATTACTACACTGTTCAAAAATCACATGTCATACATGCTCAAATGTCTCCCTAAGTTCTTACATACTTATTCAAAGATGTTATCTGCTAAAGCTGCTTAGTTGCCACTTACAAGACTGAGACATTGTAGAATGAAATTATTTTTAAGGAAAAATCATATTAAAATCTGCAACAGCACAAGTTTATATACTACACATCCCACACAATAAAGTGGGAATCAAACCTGGGATTATGATATGAAAGGACAAAATTATCAGAATTTCATAAACAAATCAAGAACTACATAATTATATGCCTGGCCATTATCAGAAATTAATACTTTGAAACAACAGGCAGTATTAGGGTATTTAATATATAAGTATTTGGTGGCCATAAGAGATTCATGGTATTTAATAGTCATATGAGATTTAATGTATCATACAGATGACACTTCAATTGGATTATATTGTGTAAACAAAATTATTGTAAAAATATCATTTGGTACTAATTTCATTAACTTAACCCCTCCCATGCTAGAATGCAATAGCCTACTATTACTTATCCATATTTGTTAAAATTCAGCACTTTCCTGCCATCTAATATCACTTGCTTTTGCTCAATAAAGTATGAACACAGCAAATGGCAACGGAATGGTCCAATAATAGCATGCAACATAAAGAGTATAGAATATATTCTATACAACATGAAGCAGAAATACTAACTCGCATAATAATCTGTAAAAATCATGAGGATTAAGTGTGTCCATCCAAAGATAATCTTTATCCAGTTCTCCATTCAGATCATCTCGGTACTTACACATTCTACAGCTGACATATGAAAGAAACTGAACTTCCAATATCTAACTGTGCACACTTAAATAATTTGTTATGTTCTCTAACATAAACCTTTGTCTTCTATCAGGTAAGAGGCATAACAAACACTTTGTATAACAGGAACACATTTAGAAAAAAGAGGCAGATTAGAATTCATCATGTCGTGCTAAGGCTTCTCCAAAGTCAGTTGCCTGTGATCCAACAAATAAATCATATTTGGCAAGAATTTCTTCCTTAGACAATTTATGATCTGCATCTACATCTGATTCGTAAATAAGATGTAGAGCTTCTGCTTCAGAATGATCAAAATCTGGTGGGATGATCCAGTTCTTAACCTGTAACAGAACATTTCAGATAACTAAGCTGAAATCCAGCATAACATTTCTTGTAAAACAGCTCATCACAAAAGAAGCTGGTACATAACATAAACTAAAACAGATTCAACATAAACCATACTTTACAGTTTACACTTGGAAAAGTATGTTAACTGTATTTGCACTCTTCATTACCTTTGTCAATAATGGAATTTCTAATTCTATGCAATGCAGTATCTGTACTGTTAATGGTACCTGCACCTTGTCATGGTGGTGGGGCTTGAGTAACTCAGTGACCCCAAGAGCTATGCTGGTGGTAGCATAGCTACTGGTAGGGCCTCCCTAGCCAGATTGGTCGAAGGGGAGAGGTCAGACTAAGACAGGTACCCTTTTCCTCCAGGTTGGGGGTTGGTTGCAAGGCTAACAACCTTGCGCCATAAAAAGGAAGATGTTTCGAAACCTCAATCAAAGCCTCAGACAGACGGACCTAACAGAGGACTGAATGGAAGAGGAGAATTGAGGAGGCCATGGACTGAATATGGACTGGAGAGCCATAGAAGAAGAAGAAAAATTAGCTGTCAACAATAGACTACCTTCGGTATCAGAATATCAAAACAAATATCATAGCCGAGTTTTTCATATTTGGGAGGTCCTGCACTTGGCCTAGAAATTGGTTATCATTACCAAGGCTTATCATGATCTTCCTCAGTCCCTTCAGGCAAATGCTGGGATAGTATCTCAAATTACACTATGACTGCTTCCTTCCATGACTTTTCCAATTCATTTCTCATTAAGGATCCTATGATTCAAGGCTACACAATCTGAACTACTGACAGAACCTTAAGACAAACCATAAAAATAAATTAAGAAACCATGATGGTTTCTTAATTTATTTATATGGTTTATTTTAAGGTTCCAATTGAGCCAATCATGACCAAATAATGAAGCAAAACTGCAAAGGACTAATTTGGAGAATGTTTGTACTTCAAACTGAAGTATACCTTTCTACCCTTCTTAAACTTCCACAAACTCACCTCTTCTTTATCCATAAACCCATCTCCATCTTTATCTCGATACTGAGAAAACTGTTCTCTCTCATTTTTTACCCAGTCAGGCTCAGGTTCACCCTCTGTGCCACGATACATGTCTGCAATGTATTCATTCAGTGAGATTCGCCCATCCTTATCTTTATCTATATCCTCCATGGTTTCTAAAACTACTATATCCCTCATATGGCCAGTTTCCTCAGGATGAAGAAACCCCGAGAACTCTTCTTTCGTAAGAGCATCATCTCCATCTTGATCAGCCACACTCCATCGCCGCCTATCACGACGCAGCATATTTTGATATGAGAAACCTTCTTCTTCCTTCTCAAATTCACTGGGATCCATATCTGAAAGAATCAAATGTTTTCCACAGAATGAAAACTTCAGATTAAAATAACAAAATAATTAGAAGAAACTGGTAAAAACATATTGATACAATAAGCTGTAGTAAAAATACTCTCATGATTTTACTCGATCACTTTCTGAAGCCTTTAAAATCACAACAAAGTCAGAGTTCCCACCAAAGATACAAAATGGCTGTTGATGACAAAGGAACTTGAACATCACTAGCAATAAATAAACAGATTATTATGTGATAACCCATATGCAGGAAAATGCTAACCTGCAATTACAGGAGACAGAAAGCATTCAACATGCCAAAGTGACTAGCAATGAAGAAAATGGAGGTAAAACACTTTTTGTATGCAAACAAAAGCATTTGGAGCAATTCACTCTGACGAGTGGAGTTACTGGAGCAAAGTATTTCAGGGCAACACATGAAAAAGTGAAGATTTAAAGGGTCAAAGGGTTTGCCTCATGCCCATGTGAATAAGAAATGGGAACTGGAGGGCCAGAATCATTCTTAAGACTACATTCAGACTAAAACTGTAGTTAAACTGACAAATTTCTTAGATTTTTCTATAATTTAAAGGTAAAGTTGTCTCTGTTCCTAAGCATCATATGAGGGCATTTTCCATTCCAGGAACTGAACACAAGCAGCAAGAATGTTGAGAAACAAAAAATGTCTTACGTTCTGAAGCTAGGTTAAACAAAGTACTTGACCAAAACTCAAAGAGTACATTTTGACAAAATGTGGTTTCATAAAGCATAACACACCACCACAAAATGCAAAGATCCATCTCATAACATGCAGTTTTCTTCAATCCTGTGATTTTTTTCAAAGAGGAACCAAATATAAACTTGATATTAAAACAAACCTAAGTCAAACATATCTAAGTTAAGGGCCTCCAACACTTCAGTTATAAGTCACCTTACATGATTTAATTATAAGTTACTATTGTTTTCTTACCATCCATGAACCCATAAACCATTTTCTTATATTCCTCCCATGAAAGGTTCCCTTTATTTTCTGGATTGTGGGTCTTCCATTGTCGTTCAACATCATCAGTTATGTACCGTTTCTGTGTGTATTGAATCCAGTCTTTTAGTTCCTCTCGTGTCACAAAACCATCTGCATCCTTATCAATTTTATCGACTATCAACCTGAAACAGTATACAAATTCCACAGAATAACATGGTACAATTACTCAGCAAATAAAAATTCTTGACAGACGTGCCACCTGTAATTAGCAACTCCATGGAGCAGAGTCTTTTCTTGAAAAACTAGAACCCATTCAGCTAGTCAAGAAATGCACAATTTTTTATGAAACCAAAAGATTCATCATTGTGGGTGCCACTGGTAGAATTGTAACCTATATGTTAACATCAAATGGTGGGAGAATATCCAGAAGTGTTCCCAGTGGGTGCAGGCCCCACAGGTGTTCTAGCCTCTAGGTAGCCAAGTCTCCAGTGAGCAGTCCATTGCTCCTAAGGCTGAAGTGAATGAGACAATGGTGAAACCCCAGAAGTAACCAAGACTAATGAAGGCAAAGCTATGGGTAACAAGTCTTATGGGCAAAGCCCTAGAAACTGCCTAATTCCTGGAGGCAGAACCAGTGGGGGATAGCTGAAAGACAAAATTATACAGAAATGAACGGACCCATAACCTATTCTTCATTTATGCTAAAGTGTAAAGAACAACTAACAAAATAAAACCTCAACTTCAACCAGGATAACTGTTTTTTGGCCGGAATTCAAATAGGGTACCTACCAAATATGAGTCAAGACATGTTACAAGTGTGCCAACCCATTGAGATGCATCAAGACTTTCACAATCTCTGCTCCACTGTTCCCAAAAATTAACATACACTACAAAAATATAAAATAATTTGAACACATGTAACTAAGGTATACAAATCATTACAATTATGTTTACCCTAATCTTCTTCTGCTTTCTTCAGGTGTCAACTGATCAAATGTTTTAGCTTCTTCACCTAGAAATGCTTCATGATCATACTGTGTATTGTGCTGTGCATTCTGATAATGCTCCTGATCACTTAGTTCCTGAAATTAAAATTACAGAAATTCAAATAATTATTTCACTCACCTTCATAATTACAAATGTAAATTCACGACTGTTAAAGTAAAAACAAACATAACAGAATAAGAGTTGAAAATAGTACAATTATGGCACAAAGAAATGTGAGCAATTAATCTGTATCTGTAATATAAGTAAATGTTCCAGACCAACAGAAATTTTAAAGATGGTGGTCTTCTGAGTTGTTGCATAATATAATATGGTAAAAGTTTACCAATGTTTCACAGGCACTTGTAGCCTCCATCTTCAGGGATATGGATCTTCTGCCCTGATGATGAAGGCAGCATGTACCTCTGAAACATTGGCAAACTTCTACCAGATCAAATGGTGCTACAGCTTAGAAGACAGCCATCTTCACAGTCAATGCCAATGAGAACCAAACAAAAATTTTAATTATAGATCCCTTACACAATGACTGGATTTCTTATCATGTCTCTACACACTGTTAATGGCATCATGTAAAACAATTTATGAACATTTTTAGTGTATTTACTTTATCTAAAAAGGAGCATGACGACAATTACTGCAAGACTATTATACATCTGGTTTGAAAAAGTTTCATTCCATACAACTACACTCAGATAGTGTTCAACTGGCTCAAATGTCACTTCCTGTTCTCTACTGTCCCTATTTTATGTGAGTTTGTCTTTTATATGTTTCCAAAGCAACTTTGGATTCCCGGATACTTAATCACAGTTTTTATGTAACTTATGCACAAAGTTTTTACAATGAAACCCATAATGGGGAGGAAGTGTTAATCTGTCCATCTATATGTCTCACCTCCAAAAGTACTAAACAGGTAGACAATAAATTTGGTATTGTTGTTCTAAACTAAAAACTGTCAAGTAGAAATTACTTTTAGTTGATACTGATGATGTCAGAGAATGAGACCAAAATAAATTTAGGCAAACATCATTAAAGCTTAAGATTTGATGTCAGGAAATAATTTATTGTACAATTTACATAGAAATGAAAAAGTGCCTTAAAAGACAGAAAATAAAAAAAATAAATAGCATGTCCAAAAAACAAGAAATTATACATTGAAGGAAGGTAGGTCTTACATTGTCCAGCACCCGATCTTTCTTCTCCTTGTCATCTGGTTTAGGAATTGCAAGTGCTATGCTAATTATTAACAGCAGCAATGTTGAACAGCATACATGTCTCAAACGAGTCATTTCTGAAATTAATAACTTTGGTTAAAACTATTCACTTCTTGAAGATTACTGTCTTCTGGGATGTTGTGCCATGTAGTCTGCCAGATGTTTATAGGTATTACCGAGGTTCTTGCTACCTCAGTCATCAGGACGATTGTAATGAAACTGGATGGAGACAGCAAACACCTCTGAAATGTCAGATAACATCTACCAAACTACAAGGTACAACATCCCAGAAGATAGTTATCTTCATACTCGAAATCAACAATACAAAAGCAACTTTAACATTACTAGTATTTACGCCACACCGGCTGCAAACAACAAACAATCCATTGAGAATTCAGGTTCTCACAGCGACGAGTACGAAGATGGCTGTCTTCTGTCATCGCCCTGATGATGGAGGTGGTAAACACGTCTGAAACGTCGGCAAACTTGTATCAGACTACACGGCGCTACAACCCAGAAGGCAGTCATCAACAAATAATCGCACTATACCATTGTGATCAAAATATTATTTGCAATACCTTTAGCCACAACTGACACCCTCACACTCTAACAAACGCCAAACACTTTCATTAACCTCTAACTTCACTCACGAGTCCCCGCTGCTGTGTGTTCAATTGTTTCACTTCCAACTCATTCGCAAACAGGGTTGTCACTAGATGGTCTGATATGTGAATCTGTTACAACGCTGGATAATATAATTGCTGAAGTACTGGTTTTACGTATTAACTTAATACAAACTTACTACTTCAAAATACTTTGTTTAGGGGCATGATAATTCATTTAAGTGTCTCAAACAATAAAATATAATATGTTGGTGTTCATATCATGTTGGTAAAATCCTATGTTGGTGTTCACTGTAATAATTTGTGAGAATCGATAGTTCTTCCCAGCTTCCGGTTTTGTTGGGCCAGAGTAGGTATTATCATCAAAAATTAATATTATCATTTCGTGTTAATTAATAACGACTAAAAGCAAATATATTCAAAAAGTAATTTATATAGAACAATATCTTATCAGATATAACACGTTTCGCTTTTGCAGGAAATATTATTTAGTAAATCTTGGTTAACTGTACTATCAAGCCAGTATACCACGTGTGGTGGCATGGTTTTTCATGAAACTCAGAATTAACAGTAAAAGTTTTTGTGTTTGACAGTAATATGTGAAATGTTTCAGGTTTACTCAACATGACGAACTCCAAAGGCTATAGGAGAGGTACGAGGGATTTGTTTTCACGCAAATTCCGTAAACATGGAACAATTCCACTGTCTACGTACATGAAAGTTTACAAAGTTGGTGATATTGTTGACATTAAGGTCAGTGAAAATGTAGTGTTATTTGTGCAATTCTAAATGCAGCAGTTGCAAGTAGGAACCTTAATCTTCCCAGTAGCATAGCTAGTTACATGGGTTATATCAGCATTCTGGTTATTACAAATTTCTTTTAGCAGTATGTTTAAGGTACAGACGTTTCAGAATGTCCATTGAACTGGTAAGAAAAAGCAAAAATATTAATTAGTCCAACGATAAAAATGAGTGTTTTGAAATGTCTGTATATTTGCAGGGTAATGGAGCTGTTCAGAAGGGCATGCCGTACAAGTTCTACCATGGAAAGACTGGTCGTGTCTTCAATGTAACACCTCATGCTTTGGGAATCATTGTAAATAAACGGCTTCGAGGGAAAATAATCCCCAAGCGGTATGTAATAATTGAATGGCATTGTTTTTGCATGAAATCCTTCAGTTGAAATTGTGGAAAGAATTAGATTTGAAATTGAAGCTGTACAGTGGTATATGAGGATGCCTCTGCAGGCAAGACATTTATAAGAGTAAAGATAACTTCTCTGGTAAAATATGTGCAGTCCAGATGCAATTATAAGATGCATTTGTACATGTCTGTTTTCTCCCCACCAGGATCAATGTTCGTATTGAGCATGTGACTCACTCCAAGTGTCGTGAGGATTTTCTAAAGAGAGTTAAGGAAAATGAGCGTCTTCGAAAGGAAGCAAAGGAAAAGAAAATAAAGGTTCAACTCAAGCGAAAGGTATTTCAGATACATTACTTACAGATTCACTTCACTGAAGAATAGTATAATTTAGCTTTATCGTTTGTGTGTTGCCTTACGCATATGATCTACTTGGTCATTTGTCACAGTAGCATACTGCTAAAACAATCAAAGGTGAAGTCTGACTGGTAGCACCTATTCCTCTATGATAAAGGTTGATACATATGTTTGACAATATCATTTCATGTCCTCGTCCCTATTAAATGTACTTTTATTATAAAAAACATTTTGGTCTGTGGGTTGCCTGACAACCAAACTTTTCCAACTGTCTCTGTCATCCCACCTTTCATTATAATTAGAGAATGTATGTTCATTTATGTTTTTATTTAAAGAAATCCACTGTGTTCCTTCCAGTCCTTTTTCTGCCATTGCATCATTGATTCTGTTCATCCTTCTAATGCTTAGTCTTCCTCACTTCATCTTCCTGCTAGTTTATACTCTAGCACTTATTTGGTCTGCTATGCTTTGCACACGTCAAATTAATTGTTTTGAATTTACATAATCCAGCATAGAAGTTTGTAAAACCCATTTTTTTTTGTGTAATGTGATCTGGTATTTTATTTCCTTGTTCTTATTGGTCCTCTTGAAAAATCCATTTTTAGAGCAAGTAATCCCATTACTTGTGTGTATTTTAGTAGTTATTTTTCTTAGGTTTTATTTATTTATTTTTCCTGTTTCAGCCTGCTCAGCCACGGCATGCCCATGTCATCAGTGGGAAAGTAGAACCTATAATGCTGGCCCCAATACCTTATGAATTCATTGCATAAACTGTATTCATTGGAATATATAATAAATTCAGTTCACTGAAATGAAATGTTTTATAATTGGGAGACTTACTAAATAATTACACATTCATCACTATATGTTTGAATGACTGGACATCTGTAGTAAGCACTTCTACTATGCACCAGGTTTGCTTACTATATTTGACAGGTGATTCAGTACCCATTTTGTTTTTATGTTTTCCTAGTTCAGAGTTCCTATCCTTTTTTGTCATGGTATATGAATGCATATTACACAAAGGGAATACATTTAATATTTTAGAACAACATTTTGCAACTTCTGTTATACATTAGGAAGTATTTCCTACTCTTTGAAAATATTTGGATTCTGAATCACTGAAAACTTCTACATTTCATTCTGTTTGAAGAGTGAAATTATGCTATTTGTACAATCACCTTTGTTTTTATATTGTAAATGAGTTTGTATAGAATTATAAATTGTTGGTTCTGTGTTCTATCAAAAGAAAAATTGGCTGAATTTCAGTGTCATGTTACAATTATTTTGAAGGCAGTGATGTATGTGGTAGAGAATGTGTTGGAGCAGTCCAAGGTAAAAAATATTCTCTTATAAACATGAAACATAATGTAAAATGCTTTGAAGTGGTCCTGCACGTGCATAACTCAAGTACAGTAGAGTCCCCATTACTTGATCATATCCAGAACCAGTCTGGATGTAGTGGTGAAGAGAAATCCCTACATCTGATGGTAACTGAACCCAAGACACATAGAATAGTCACTCGCTCAGAATCATAAAATATTAGTAACATATTCTATGCAGCAGTCCTCCTTTAGAGGCTGGTAGGCACTCAGCCAGTCAAGAAATTCTCTGCCTTTTATGGATATCGTAAGTTCATTACCATTTCACAAAATACCACTTCTGGTGCTTATTCTGGGACTGATGAATCCAGACTACATCCACATACCTTGTTTCTTTACGATCCATTTTACTGTTAACTGCCCATTTAAGACCATATCTTCCAATTGGTCTATTCCCTTCAGGTTTTCCAACTAAAATTTTGGATGCATTTCTCATTTCTTCCATTATACCCACCCATCTAATTCTCTTTGATTTGATCACCATAATAATACATGGTGAAGAGTACAAACTATGAGGTTCATCATTATGCAGTTTTCTCCAGCCTCCTGTTACCTCTTCAGCACCTTGTTAGCACTTGACAGATTTTGTTTCCTTTGCCCAACATATTAATATCAGCAGAAATCAGAAGCTCATGTGTCCCATTCAAAATATCAGTGTAGTATGCACAAACTGGTTCTAGAAATACTAACATCTAGGCCATTTTCTTTGATAGATCATCAGTATGTGAGAAGTCCCCAGTAGATGCATTATTTACTACCTTGACATTTAATCCATGTCTGAACTACAACAATGTACACAATATTTCTTAAATAATTAAAACAGCTTTCAATCAACACAAAATTAACTATGCACAAAAGTTTCCAACTCTCAATGATTCTAGTCATATCTGCAATCCAAAATATACAGATATGGAAGGTGTAGACTCCTGTATTTATATTCCCTATTGTTTGACAAGTCAACCAAGTTCCAACAAAACTGGTGAGGGTTGGACAAAAGTTACTGCATAATATTACAAATGAATAAAGGCACAAATATTTGTGGATCTCAGAAACCATTGAAAACTGTGCTGATTCAAACAACACTGACATAAAAACAGTGCCTTGGCAATAAAACAACATGTCATACATATTGCTTCAAAAGTGAAATTCTCATATTAGGGAGATTTTTCAACATTATTATAGCCAGGGAATATGAAACATTTTAACTTTCATCATCTGCATATACCTTCATAAGATACAGTAAATTTATAGTTGTGCACAATTTGAGAAAATATATTAAAAACATATCAGCCACTGCAACTCGTACCTGCTGCTATAATTGAACATCCAGACAGCTAATCTTATTTAGACATGTACTTCTTTTACTCATGTCTGTCTTATAAATGTAATTTATCAATTTCAGTCAGTTCCTTATCTCCATTCTCATTTGTTTGATGTAATTACATATTTTAAAGAATGGGAGTAATATTATGAATGATTAATTGGAAAGCTGTAAAAATATTCTTTGTCTATGTTAAGGGTTTATCTTGTAATTAAACATGCATACACACATATGCACATATTATTCATATCACCAAACCTTACCTTGTTTAAGAAGACCTACTGTCTTAGGGCTATCTGAATGTCGAATAACAATGTGCTATGTTCTCAGAACACTACAAATGGTGATATTTTAAACATGAACATAGTATTTCTTGTAATGTTAGGCTACTTTTTATGTGCATATCTAAATTGTTCTTGTCAACTGATCACAAACTATATTCATGAATGCTGCAATATATACATTTCTTTAATTTGATCCTCCCTTTTTTAAACATATACAACAAGCCATATTATATTAAGTCTTTAATATCACAGTTCACTACTACACCTACATACAACTTATTTTTGTTTTATTTATTCCAATGTATATCAGATAAATTTACAAAAATGAAGTTGCAGAAGAATAATTGAATTCTCAAATATTGTTAGATTTAGCCTGTAACCAGGAGCTATACTATGCCCTACTCCATGTAGGATAATTAAATCAAAGAAAAGAATCTGGCAAATATAATAATTACATTGTTTGTACTGAACAGTACAGCACCAAATCATCACTCACTACCTATCTGCATAATGTTATCAATCCCTTATTTTCACTTACAACCTAAAGAAATTTAAACCAATTCAACACACATATGAACCAGGACCAAGTCTTGTGTGATTTACAATTTACTTTGATTTCTTTGTCAATGTGACACAATATCTCTATAACTAATTCCAATATTTTTATTCTAATTTTTTTTAAAATGTCCTGACCTACATGACCAGCCTATACGGGAATGATAGTCTTAAAGGCAGTTCTTTTAACTGCAAAAGTCTATTCCATCCTAACAGGCTGGAAATATATCATGATGCAAGAATTAAGATCAAACACATTCCATGATCCTAATATCCACTTAATATATTCCCAGAGGCATCACAATTTCATAATGAAATGTATAAAAAAAATCATTATTTATGAAAGAAACCCACCATCTTTGAACTCACCACTGTAAAAACTTCAAATCTCAATTATTTACAAATTCCTATAGGTTGATTAGATAAAAAGTTTTTTGGATGTTTTCCTTCATCTAATTTAAACCTACTCTGTTGGGCCCAATCAGAGATAATCCCTATCTCCGGATAACTCTATCGATTAGGCCCAACAGAGTAGATTTACCTGAAGACTGAGATAGAGTCCCATCTCCGAAACGTCGTTAAATTTTATTAGACGATGGAAAACATCCAAAAAACTTTTTATCTAAATAACACACCATCGTCACAAACTTTTAGATTTGAGATCCTATAGGTTGGAGATCACTAGTGTAACCTTTAGGATTCAAACACTGAATTACGTGTTCAGCAATACCCCTCCAGCTCTCCCTCTCACATGCACGTACACACACAAAATGGAAACAAAATATTTCTCTGGCTTCAAATGCCACAGTGTGTCCATAAATAAAATAATTAGAATGACAGAACTGAGCAAAACATAAAATTCAGGCCAAGCAAAAGCATGATAATACAAATTGGAGGGTGTAGTTCAAAAACTCATAATCAGTCCATTTAACAAAATTTTCAGAAAAAAAAAACTGTGGGAAAGTAAGCAGTCAATACATTTATTTGGTATACAAAGTGCTAACACTTTTTGAACATCAGGAAATGTTGAGGTAATTTAAAATTGCATGAATTTAAATCACTCAATTTCTGTGCCTGAAAATAAAATCTTTCAAGTTGGCAAAACTGTACTTTTTTGTAACTGTAAACTGCAATTTTTTGTCACAATTGTTTTCTTTTATACCTATGTAAGATCTATATACTTTCATCAACCAATATTTGTATAATCTGTATTATTATGAAATTAAAATAAGCAAATTATATTGAGTTCAATATACAACTGAAAGGAGGCACACAGACACACAAGCCAATTTGTTTTTATTAAGAAAGGGAAGTGGGATAGTACACAAAGGAAGCAGCAATGCACTAAGGGCCAACCATCTTAAAACATACACCAATGCAGCATACTGCCATGTGCACATCAGGATGACAAAGTTTTGAGGTAGAACACGCCCTGGACTGAATGAGTTTTGTAAATACCAGAATTTTCAACATTCCACTCAAAGGATGAACTGTATTTTTCCATGAAATGTTCTAAATGAAGTAGAATTTATTCAATTAACAACAGCTGCTCTTAGATAGAACATTCACAGAATGGACTGAGCAAGTTTTAGAACTACTCTCTTCAACTATCTGGTTACCTAAAGATTAAAATGTAAACAAAACTGTTTTATGGTTTCAAACAAAACTTACATGTATGTTAAACACACAGGTCCAGAGGCATTATACAAGCACACTTATGGCCTGTCTAACTTTCAGAAAAGATTACAGCTCTTAGAGGAACAGCATTGTAAATCTACAGTAGGATAATGTAGGCTGTCCATGTACATCACAGACTACAAGTTACACCAACATAACCACATTCCAAAACAAGTCTCTCTAAATCTCATAATCAACCTAGGGTTGCTCTTACATGAAGAAGTGGAAATATATCACATATCCCTACAATTTATTGTACACATTATCCCTTATGTTCAACTGAAGCCCTCAAAATGTCTAAATTCAAAAGCTTCGCTCCTAAAATAATGTACATTTTTCTCAGGATTTTTACTTTCATTTGATTAAACACGTTCAACACTAGTTGTCATTCTTTGCTTCTAAGCACTTGTTCACTCATACACTTCATGAAACCATCAGCATTACCCACTTACTAGCAATGCACACTTTGTATCACCACAATAAAACATGGAAACTAAAACTGACTGCTTGAAAAGATATTGTAACAAAGAGTACTGTTAAATTTAGAGAGCAGGGCAATGGAAACAGAAGAAATAAAGTTACAGTCCAATGTGGTAAAACAAAGATGGAAAAGTAAAAGCTCATAAAACCTATAGTCTTTTCATAAAGCTAAATGGACATAGTTTTTCCATTAAACACAATCTCTTGACTGGTAAAAGAGAATGTAACCCGTCTCTGAAGACTTCTGAATATCTGATGTCAGACCATAAAAATCTTCAATTGTAGATGCATCAATTTTCTGGCAACAAGAAAAGCATTAATGTAAATATCAGATACTTGTCTCCATAAATCCATGCCTCTTTACATCTGATTTAGCATTTAATGAAACATCATTTGAAAATCAAGTGTTCCCAACAAGTAACAGCGCATGAACATTTCTAAAAACATACAATTTGGTGTGATAAATTTTAGGGCTCTGAAGGATTATACCTAGTAGGTTTATAAAATGTCAAAATTCATATTTTACTTGTTCAGTTGCAATGATTTAGCAGTTAGTCACACTCCAAAATATTCCATATAATTAGTACCACATTGTTATATCCTGTTTTCCTAAAACCTAACCAGAATAAAAATAAAACACTTTTCACGGATCTTTCACCATTTCAAGTTACTACATGATATAATGCATGCTAATGTTCTCCACACCTCACAAGTCTGCAGAACTGTATGTTGTTACTGTTGACAGCCAAAGAACTGCCATACCTAACACTACAGAGTATAGTACAATTAAATGTCCTCCCTCACACTTAACATATTAAAACATAGCATACAAAGAGTATTTAAACTAAAATGCTTTATAGCAACAGAATACAGTGAATTTAAATGGCATGGCAGGGGTTAAAATATTATTATGAAATAACAGACCACTATTCAATAAATTTACTATCAAGACATAATTCCTGCAAAAATTGTACTTTTAATTTTAACAAGATGATACAATGTGTTTATGCTGAGTTTCATACTTCTAGTTACAACTGAGAGGAGGTAAAAACAACAAAAACAAACTAAAAACCAAATCCAGGAAATTTTCTCTTGGGTTAACTCCACTATTCAGTTAAAAATCATATTGTCAGAAGTCTGGACTGGGAAGGACTAACATGTAGCAACTTGCATCTGATAAAGTTCATAATTTTTTTGTACCAAATATCAAGCAAGATCTTGACCTAGTATATACTGGTTTCCACTTAACTATTAAACACATAGGTTCATGCTGTCACTCATGGACCAAGCATTTTCACTACCTACACAGGTGCTTACTTTCATACATAATGTTTATTGTTATTTTTCAATGTCTGTTTCATAAAAACAGTCAGATTCTAGATTACTGTCTGCAAACATTTCTTCCACAATTTCATTTTCTTTTAAAATCAACAGGTAATGCATACACATGCTCGCAACAATGCAAAAGACAAGCATGTTTCAACAAAATAAATCTCAATGGCAGAATGTAAACAAATGCACGGTACTGAAATATTTCTTTTTCCTTTATGTCCCATTTTGAAAACTTTATTTTACTTGTCAAACTTTGCGTAAGCTGGTTACCTAATCCCTTTTGCATTTACTGTCTGTAATTATGAAGTTAAAATGTATTACTTACATCAACCATATCATCATCAAAAAGAAGCCAAAAACCATGACTCTTCACAATACTGATATAATGTCCACGATTTGGACCACTTCCACAATGTATCACAACAGCAACAAGATCGTACAATCTGTCAGGGTTCACTGCATCATCAGACTGAAACACATAAGATCAACATACCATTTAGTTGTGACTTGCAACTTCCTGTGCCCAATCTAAAAATCTAGGAACTAAATTATATATATATATATATAATTTTGTCAGAAATTTAGTACGAGCATAAAAACAATATCTACATGAGGAAGACTGTGAGTGACCAAGAGTAATGCACTGAGGATGATACTGCATTTGACCTTGAAAATATGGACTGAGAGGACCAGCTAAAATCTAAAATTGAGGAGTTACATACTTTTCATTTCTTTCCTTATACTGTTATTACATAAAGGTGAAATGTATAGGACATGTACCAAGAATAGGGAAAAGAATAACTGGATGCAAATTTTGGGTGGAAAATTTAAATGACGAAACCACTTGGGAGTCCTAATTATAGATGGTATAGCAATATTAAACTGGATCTTATAACTTGAACATCCATTTTAAGGTATTATTCCAGCATTTGTCTGTAAGGATGAAGGAAAACTAAACAATCTTAATGAACACAGATTGATAATCAAAACCACAATCTTCCTAACAAACAGTAGGAATGTTAATCACTAAACCAAATTTGGTACCTAACCTTAGGCACAAATGCTTGCATATAACATATGTAAAACATAAGAAATAAAATGTTTATTGAGCTTCTCAATGTTTGAAAAATATAGCATAAAACAACTGAATAGATAAAGGAAGAAAGGAGTGAACAGCAGAATTGCAGACAAACCATTATTGCATTATAACAATCAGGAGTACATTATTTAATCACTTTTAGTTACAAACACAAGGACCAATTACAAAATATCTAATCCTATATGCACATAAAAAACACAGCAATACAATTCATACATACTGTATTAAATAGCCTCAATTCCAGAGGAAACACAACCCTATGTGAAACCTTTATATGTCTGTTGAACTGCTCCATGTACTTAAACCTCTTCAAATGAAGTGCTAGAATCATTGGAAGCTTCTTTACCCTCATTCGTTTCTGTAAAAGAGAAAATATGAAAACGTGCATTTGGAATAAATGAGATTTACAATAAATCAAGGTATAATTACACTTCTGTATGTTATGTTTCCTCTCTCTTTGTGGGCACCTCAAATTATTTCTTATCATAATATTATGCAATTTGGCCCTTCCATTATTGAAGAACTGACTGAGCAAAGAAGAATTTTTTTGCTGGGCCTGCCACAGCTCCTGTGGCTCATACCTACAGGCTGAATTTAAATTCCAAGTAATTCATGAACATACAGTTGACTGGATTTACTTCTGTTGCAGTTACTACAATAATCAGTGTTCAGTCATGCATTTCCTTTTATTTTCCTTTGAAGATTGCATTATATTATTCACCTATTATAAATATCTTTCTTGTTTGGAGTGGTTTAAGTAAGTTTTTGAAGAACAATATTTGTCTTCAGATCTGAAGATTATTATTGTATGCTGTACCTTTAGCCGGCAAATCATTGTTATGCTTAGTAAATGGTGGTGATGACTTTTCACACTATGCTGCATTTTTATTTCCATTTATATTGGAATATGGCTGGTACATTTTAGCCACTACTCACAATGGCTAATGATTACTAATAATAGCCACTTTCAGACTCTGACCATACATGTAAAGTAGAAGTCCATTTTAACAAGAGCTCACAGTGTTTACTGAAAAATGTTGATATAATGAATATTTGTAATAGGCAATTAAACATCTGAAAACAGAAGAAAAAACTCCCAAATCAAATGGCACATAAATAAGTTTATTTTATGTTCCCATTTATACTAAAATTTTAACTAAATTTGAGTGTATTCTACAGCATCAAAAATGGTACATTTATCTTACTGACAATATACATAAAATTCATAGAAGAAAGATATTACACTCGTTTAATAACTGTGGTAGTTCATAATTTGAAAGTGTTGCTGTGGAGCCTAGAACAAACATGGTCCAGAGTGGCAGCATGGAACAAACAGCATCTATACAGTCTGGCAGTAACATGGTATCTAAAACAGACTTGTCAATGTGGGCAACACTCATTCCATTTGACTTTTACTGTGTGCTAATGAGAATGCACAATGCAAAATAATCAACTTCAAAAATTGTTTGTTGTCCCTTCTATATTATATAGGTTTCTGATGTGAGCATTACTTAAGAAAGATCCTGGCCATTTTACATCTCATGTAACACTATGCATGGCAATAAAAGTAATCATTCCTACCTGTGCTTCCTGGTAACTGCTGCAGTGGTCACATTTGAACTTGTTATCACTGCACAGTGTTTCTGTGTTGCTAAAGCATTTCAAACAATGGGTGATACTGGTGTTCTGGTCAACATCAACTTGAAGATCAAAAAAATCTTCATCTTTACTACTTACCTACAAAGTAAATAGTTGAAAATAAATTTCCAATATACAGAAAGACCCACACAACATCACAATTATCTATCTTACTAAATCTGAAGGTATGTGTGTAGGATGTATTATTAAAACAACAATATTCTTGGACATTCTTGATTTTGCCTAAGGTTATGTCTGTGCTCATTAAAACATACTTCCAGGAGTCTACCTGTTTTGGAAATATAACATATGCCAGAACGACAAGTAAGGAAATGTCTATAATTTACTCTGTGACTGTGGCAGATATTATATCAGTAAAACATGTAGACCCCTAGAGGTATGCATTAAGGACCACAGAAATAATTTCAGCAAGATCTCTTGGAAAATTGAAAATTTGCTTGCATATGAAGGCCACAATGTAAATGTAACATTATATTTCTTTAACTTGGTCTTTGGTTTCAGTTTTTCCTCTTTTGTTTCACTGAATGTGGTTGGAATGCAAGCTCTTATCTATTTTGTTGTAATTTTAGGTTTGTATTGTCTCGCTTCATTTCCATGCCAAAATTTGTACTATTGCTGCTGTCCAGAGATAGGGACTAGCTTCATCAATTGGGCCCAACAAAATAGGTTTTACCTGAGGACAGAGGCAGTCCTGTCTTTAGAACATCATTTTTAGTTACATTGTGGTAATGGACAATGTCCAAAAAGCTTGTTATTTCAAGCAACTTACTGTTTCACAATTGAGGCATCTTGTTTCACTTGTCAGTATTCCTTGAAAAATCTCATGCACCCATGTAGGCTCAGGCTGAGGAGTAGGGGCCTCACCATTTCCCATCTTTGGTTTAGCACTACTTTGATGCCTCTCGGCTGGAAAGAAATTTCAAATTCATCTTTCATTTATTTATTCTCAGTTCTATACCACTCACATTACACTACTGCAGTGCTTTCAAATAACAATGTGTGTCCACGTAACAGATTTTTATTACGTGTACAAACCTATATGCTTCAAGTCTTATGAGAAAAATTGTATGCATATGAAGGTTTTTATACAAAACTGACCACCATTCATTAACACCAAGAAGTGAGGATGATACTTCATATCAATTTCCTCACCAAAGAGGTAAGATGAGTTACTCCCACTGAACGTCCTCTTTATTCAAAGTTGCAGACCTCAATTTTCATTAATGGGAGTAAGGTTGGAAATAATGTGAAATCTTTCCCTTATCAGAAATATAAAATGTAAAACGACATTTCGGAGATGGGGCTCTATCTCTGTCTTCAGGTTCCTACTCAGTTGGGCCCACTAGATAGAGCTAATCCCTATCTCCGGACAAAGTAAAAAAGTGAAAGTCCCAGAATACAAGAACATCACCACACCATCCATCCGTGGGACGTAAAAGAATAAAATAGAAACAGTAGAAACATAATTCGTTAAACATGGAAAAGCCAAATAAAAACAAAGACACACAAAAAATGGGAATAAATACATATGACCAGAGGCGGCACACATAGCACTACTTGCTAATCCTATCAGCCAGCCTAGTTTGGATTAATCTCGCATGTGGATTCCGGTCATCTCTGAAGAAGTCCAAGTTGTTCATCGAGTTTCAAATTAATGGTCATATGCATTTATTCCCATTTTTTGTGTGTCTTTGTTTTTATTTGGCATTTTCATGTTTAACAAATTATGTTTCTACTATTTCTATTTTATTCTTTTACGTCCCACGGATGGATGGTGTGGTGATGTTCTTGTATTCTGGGACTTTCACTTTTTTTACTTTGTCCGGAGATAGGGATTAGCTCTATCTAGTGGGCCCAACTGAGTAGGAACCTGAAGATGGAGATAGAGCCCCATCTCCGAAACGTCGTTTTACGTTTTATATTTTATTTACTAGACGATGGATAATATCCAACAAAATTTTTATTCATATAATGTAATATAAATTAAAATGCACTAACATGACATAATCTAATCTAACAAAGCTGTTGAATCATACAACTATGTCAGAATACTGTGTGATCCAAAAAACAAAAACACAAGTCTCTATACTGTAAAGATATACTGACTCAAAACTTGATTGTGTTATATGTGTAAAGTGCTACTTTATATTTATACATGTATGTGTGAAAATCTTGGGAGCTAACTGATGTAAAATTCTCAAGAACTAATGCATTTTGAAATTTGTTTCATGACTGTACTTCTGGTAACACATGGTGATCTGAGGACTAGTATAATTGTGCTATCAAAACACAAGGCCGCTCTTTTCATTACTTTGTAACAAATGTGTACAAAAATATATAAAAAGCTTTAACAAAGAAAATTATTCACACACAGAAAGGTCACTTTGTTTAAGAAATACTTCTAAGCAAGTCAAAGAAAATTCTATAATAATGATATACAAATAAAACTAAAAAATGTTATAAAATGCCTATATTCCCACCAGCTCACAAAATGTTGAAGACAAAAATGTTATAAAATGCCTATTGTCCCACCAGCTCACAAAATGTTGAAGACATTTCTTTATGTATTTTAAATGGTTATTTCTGTTGATCTTATTCTGTTTCATGGATAAAATTGTGAAAAATACTCACCTAAAATTATTTCATTGATATGATTGATCAAGAAGTTAAGGAATTCATGTGCATCTTGTTGCATGTAGTTATCAAACTCCTCTGAAAAAAACGGGAAGATTAAAAAATCTAATACATTACTAACTAATGACAAAACACTTTATCAAATGTATATTGCATATTAACAATACCAACCTTTCTCTTTCCGAAGCCTAGCAATAAACTTTTTTGGTGCAATGGATCCAACTTTCTTTTTTTGTGTAGCAATACTATAGAAGAGGTCAGCAAGGCATGTGAGAAGTGTCTCTTTTGTTCTTTTATTTCTTGCTTTATACTCTAGCACTTTTTCTCGAAATGGTTTACAAAAATATAAAGCCTGAAGGACAGAATTGCTGTAGCAAGTATTACCAAACTGAAAATAAATAAAACAGTTATGTAGATAGTTGACTAGTGACTTAAGAATAAATTGCATTTATCTGCAAATACAAAGTTAATTCTTCTGTGCTGACAGCCTGGTCACACCTTGGATATTTTCCACCACTTCACAAAAAGTAAACAATTTATGGTATGCCAGAATACATGGGTAAATGTAAATGCATTTCATAATACTATTACAAATACCGAAATTTATCTATTTGGAAACTCACATTTACCAGCCCAAAGTAATGTTCGTTGGCTGGAAACTGATCTGATCCAATATCTCGTTCCAGTTGAGAAATATTTGCACCCTGGATGCAAACACACAACAAATTAAAAGAATTGTAATAAGCAGTTCTTAAAATGTAAACGTAAACGCAAACGCAGAAACAAACTTCACCAACTTCTCCTTAAATAACACAATGTGGGCACAGCTGTCTACTGGGGCCTAAAATACGTCATGATTTGTGAGTTAGCAGTCAACGTAAAACGCATGGACATGTGTATGCACATATTTACTGAAAATAAAAAGTCATAAAATGTTATTTCATTGTTAACAACATTACCATTATTGTGTGAAAATTCGGTCGAATTTAAATCAGTTACGATACTGCAATCCACTCAACACCCCCATCTTTACTTTTCTGACAGTAGCGCTACCTACAGATAGAAATTTTAAGTGTCGTAGGAGGATAATTGTCCTCGCTACTACGGGTTTCAGGTTTTCCAAATGTAGAAGAAGAAAGTGTTAATTTTCACCTGCATACATTCGCAGACATTGTTTGCATCAAACATTTGCGGACAAACATCAGCTGTGCGCACTAGGTATGAATATGTATTGATTGGCAATTAATATTTTCATACTTGGTTGGCAAGGCAACCGTCAAATGAACTGAACCAAACCTTATAAAATGGAGGATACAGAAGCAACAGAACCACAAAAAAAGCCCACAAAGCGAAAGGCAAGAAATCAGTCAGAATGGAAACGAGAGAAAAGAAAACGGTCTATAATTGCCGGAGAACCACATGTGACTGTCAGAGGAGAGATGACAGAACAGAAGAAGATTGGTTCTGATTGCCTCTGTAAGCTGAAATGTTATGAAAAAATTGATGGGAAAACTAGACAAATGCTTTTCGATGGTTTTTATTCGTTGAAAACATATGATGAACAGAATGCTTATTTATTTGGGTTAATCAGAAAACATGACGTTAAAAGAAAGAAAAATGCTGCTTCGGACAGAAGAACGTGTACTTATAAGTACTATATACGTTATAGGGGACAAGAAACACAGGTCTGCAAATTGGCTTTTGCACATATTCATGCGGTGTCTTTCAGAAAAATTAGAACACTGAGTGAAAAACTGGATCAGAACATACTATTTCCCAGAGATGGTCGTGGGAAACATGATAACAGGCCCACAAAAATTCCCCAGGAGACAAAAGACTTGATTAAAAATCACCTGTTTAATGTAATAAAATCAAATGATTTGAAAAGCTTTATGAAAGAAGACAAAAACAGACAAATGGTGCCAGAACTGAATGTGGCTAAGCTGTATCTTCATTTCCTTCGAATATATGAATGTGAAGCTTTGAACCCACAAACTGGTGAGTATTACAATCATTTTGCTTTCAGTAAGTACTTAGTACAAAATAATATTTGTTTCAACAAGTACTTGTATGTAAGTTGACTGGAGTAATCTATACAGTGTGTTAGTATGATAATATGATCCTTAAAAATGTGTTAATACATTAATATTAACTTTGAAAGTGTTTATGTTGTCTCTGGTTCTTATTGATTAAATAATTACAGCTTTTAGTGGTGTTCATTTTTATATTTACATTTTAGGACAGCTAATTCCGGGTTACATTCCGAAAGTGAAGAGCTGGTTGTACCGCAAAGTATTCCACGAAGAAGTGAAGTCGAAGGATTTCCAGACTTTGAAGAAGAAGTTAGACATCTTCAATGAGAGCCATATTCACAAGATGGATGAGATGGATCTTGCAGCTAAGGACAGGAACCCTAAAAAGTCAAGAAGAAAGGGAACTGCAAAGAAACTTTCCTTGGTTGAAAATGCAATGGTATCTAGTGATCATAACTCAGCTGCTAAAGCAGCTGAAGCACTCATGTTCCAGCAGAAAACTGCTGGTTTGGGCTGTTCTAATGTTCATTTCCCTATTGCTCCTAACTATAACACCCAGGGTACACCAACAGTTCAAAATATTCAGTTACAGGTACAAAGAAACATAGTAGAAACTGCTAAACATCATCAGCCAATGCAGAATCAACCTCCAACCTTATCAGTGTCACAGTCCATGAATCCTCATCAAGCCCATTCAGATTCATCTGGCCATCATCATTCCTCACAAGAATTTCCAAATGCTCATTACCACTTCTTAGCAGGAAGACCTGGGAAGGAACCTGTAGGCATAGGAAATCGTACCATGACACTTTTGCAGCATTCCATCAATCCTCAAACAATTGGTGCCATCTCTCATCACCATCCAATGACAACATTCACTGGAAGCATGAATGATCCTTTACAACGTGTTAGAAACTCTGCACAAAGTCAGCACTATGGGGCAGCCACTGGGCTGATGCATTCAGCTGATGCAAATCAGCAGTTGGATTTGTCTGTTAATGATATGACAAATGCATTCTATTCATAAAATGTATCAATGTTATTTGTTTTATCGTGACATCGTTTGGTAGATTTTAGTACTGTGTATTCATATGGATTCAGTATGCAGTGCAAATTTTTTTAAAAACTTTTAAAGTGCTTCTTAGTTTTATCTACCTTTTAGACATGTGATTAATAACATGACCTTTTTAATTGACAGCTGTCATTGCATGAATATTAAATAAAGATGAATAAATGCAATTATGTGTGACAGATTGTGTTCTGGAAGAAATATATAGACGTGTGCTTTTGTAATATATATATGTGTGTGAAGTTATTAACAATCATACTTTTGGGGTTGTGGGTAGTGTGGTTGGGTCCGGGATATTTTGTGGATGCACGTTGGCTACTGTTGAATGTGGAATAATAATATTATCTGTAATGCATCAGGGACGGTGATGGCAGAAAATCGTAAATGCCTACGATCCGGGTTAAAATCAGAAATGTAACGTCTGTACTCCTAAAGTGTTTGTTTTATGGTGCATGGATATATACATTTTGGCGGGAAATGCGCCGCATCATTCTTCAGGTCCTGCAATTCACAGCATTGAAATTCCCTAAACGATGGCGAGTGCAATTTGCAGTATGGTAAACAAGATAAACGTTGTCAATATCAATGTGTACTCCACGTGATTGACGATGAACAAGTGAAACAAAAGCAGTACGGCTCTGTACAAACATGACACAGTGGACTATTTTATCAAATAATCTTGGTCGAAGCGTATCAGTTTTAGCTGTACAGCCCTGACGAATCTGTCGAGTAGGTTATTACAATTCAGAATGCTTATTGGAAACACTAAAGCTATTATATTTATTCTGCTCGTCGTCCTGATGGGCATTGTTGCAATCGTAAATTACCACGATCAGACTTTGAATATGATACCAGTTGTCATAAACACATGGCCATTTACAAATGCAACACAAAACGGTAAGTACAGTAACGTAATTATTCGACGAGCCTTGAATTGTCCAAATCCCAAGATGTTACTGTATGCCGACTGGTTTATAACATGGGAGATCACTGAGGATGAAATTTTACTGTTATTACTTTCCGTTATTTATTAAATTTAGGTCCGTGAAGTGTCATGTGCCCTGCTGACAGGTAGTCCATAATATGTTTATTCGTTCTTCGAATTATTTACTGGGAACCAACTAAATCTGCCGTGGGATCGAATAGCGAGTTATCAACTTTCTCTCAAAGTATACATTGGGCACAAGTGTAAAAGGCTTGTATTAGATGCCATCCCACTGAGAAAGAAAGAGTGAAGTGGATGAGATGTATAAATTTTAATGGGATTATTAGTTTTGCAGCCAAGTGTGACCACCCCACACTTGGATGTCTAAGTACACAGTCCACTTCTTGCTTAGGGAATTGCATATACCAATCAAGACTTTATTTTTTTCAATCCCTCTGGTCAAATGCAATAAACACTTCTTGGGATGTCACATGTATAAGTATGGAGTTTGAGATTCTCTGCCATCATCATCAGGGTTGATACCTACACTGATGATAGAGGCAGAGATCGTCTCCAAAATGCTAGGATCTAATGTCGTATATAGTTACTTGTAGCTCCTTGAATGAACAGATGCATTTGAAGGAAAATAAGTGTCATAAGTTCTCTTAAGCTGTTAATATAATTGTTTTTATCAATGATTTATTAGCTTTATCATCATACATGGATGTCTCCATTTGCTTCACCCTGACATTTATATTCCTTTATATTTCCCAAAATCTTTCTTGTATTTGTTTCCATATGTTCTTACCATATTCCTCATTTTGTCTTAATTTCCACATTTAAAGGTACCTTTACTGTTTTGTTATTGTCCATTCCTATAACACTGCCAAACCACTCTAATCCTGATGTTTGCAGATTTCCCTTAAAAATCTGATGACCATTGATTTAATTTGCAGGGAGGACAGAGGCAGGTTGTGAAATTGTCTTTCATTGTGGTAGGAAATACAGTGTAAGGAGTTGGACATTGGTACATTAAGATGACTTGAATTTTACTTTCACAGCTTGGAATACTATATACTTTAAAAAGAAGTCAGCACTGGATGGTGTAGAGAAGGGCTGTACTACATGTGAAGTTGATCAGTGTGATGGAACTGTAGGTTTTGGAGGTAGCCCTGATGAAAATGGAGAAACTACATTAGATGCTATGATTATGGATGGGTATGTATGTAAGTTGGGTTTTCTGGGAAATATGTTATTTATTCTGAGAATCTACAAATCCCGTTCCCACAGACTTATTGAATTTTGTAGTATCTATTTTAAAGGGGGCTGTGATCAGTTTCTTGGTTTATTTAATGGTGCTTTTTCTACTGCACAGCTTTAAATGGTAAGATGACTGTCAATGATTAATTGTAAAGTATGTGAGAGAAAGTGATAATGACCTATTTTAAGGTGCTGTCTTAACATGTGCCAGGAAGTAATGAGGAAACCCACAAACATCCTCTGTCAAAATAGCTGGTCACCAGGCAAAGACTCAAATAAGGGACATCCTGATGTCACCTGTAGTGTTGCCCATTATATTTGGTGGACTTTAATTAGTGCATAGAATACAAAAATACTGATCCGTTATGGAGACTGCTGTCAGATAATCTGAATGAGAATGAAGTATTTTACCATTAGGACACATTAACTGAGGTGACCAGTAGACTCATTAGTGTGATGTAATGTTTTACAGAATGACAATGAATGTGGGTGCAGTTGCTGCTTTAAGGCGTGTGAAGAGTGCCATATCTGTTGCACGATGTGTACTAGAGCACACACAACACACACTTTTAGTAGGTGATCAAGCAACACAGTTTGCTGTCTCATTGGGTTTCAAGGAAGAAACATTAGAGACAGGCAAGTCTCGAAAAATGTGGCAGCAGTGGAAGGAAAACAGTTGCCAACCAAACTTCTGGGTGGTATGTAAGATAATATAAATATACATTAATATGTATGTGACATACAAAAGATGCAAAGACATATGAATATATTGTTGTTGCTAATAATGATAATATTAACATATTTGTTACAATTCAACAGAATGTAAAACCTGATCCCACCAAATTTTGTGGACCATACAAATCAGATACTTCCATCACTAAGAGGCAGGAAGGAAACTACCCAAAACATAGAAGTGTATTTAATGATAAAAACCATGACACAATAGGAATGGTTGCTATTGATACTGCAGGCAGAATAGCAGCTGGTACATCAACCAATGGAGCAAAGTTCAAAATTCCAGGGTGAGTAATTTAATGCTCAGTGTAACAAACTGTAAGCATTTGAACTAAATTAGTATTATAGCTGGTATAGGGCCTGATTCTCAGTGACACATGTCCTATTCTTACAACTTATTTATTATTTTAGCCTTATTCTTTATTCTGTTTTTGGTCTTACATGGTCAGTTGTCACTAAAGATATGAAGTAGATAGGGAATATTTTTATGAGGAATATGCCCAAAGTTCTGTTGGATATTCAGCATGAATATGTCAGTATTGCTTACAATACCATTAGCAGTGTCAGTCTGTTAATACTGAGTCAATTAGCTGCATAACTAGATATCCTGGGGTTTTCATTGTTTTACTCAGTCACTGTAGACAAATTCTGTGATAGTAGTCCTTCTGAATCCTGTCCAGTACAGCTTACATAATCATCCCCATGGCATTTGCAGCTGAAGTATGTGACCTTTCAGTTCAGACTGCACTGTGAAACTAAAGTAAAGTTAAATGCAAGTGGTCATCAGTTGTTCATGTTATACATTTACTCTTAACCAAAAGCTGTTAAGACTGAAGGATACCCTAAAGAAATCTGGTATATAGCATTTGTAAAAGGGATATTTTGGTTAAAAAGTAATTTATTTTAAATGATATTTGGGATGAAACTTGTATAGATATGTCCATATAATGCACAGCGTTCTTTGTATTAATAAAAGATTTCTTAAGACGTGGTACAATAGGGATTTCATTTAAAAAACATAACAAAGGTACTTTTAACTTGAAGCTAGAATTGATGATAATTCTCCAAGGAGGAAATGTGAATTGCAAATACTGTGTATCTGTATATTTTAAAATCTCTATATCTTCTATGTAACTTTTGACATTTTAAAAATATTAACTTATTTTCAACAAAAAAATAGATTCAGTTTCAAAGAAATTTGATGCTGTTGGCATTCTTTTAGGAGAGTTGGAGATTCACCTATCCCTGGAGCAGGAGCATATGCTGATGGCACTGTAGGGGCAGCAGCAGCCACAGGTGATGGAGATATCATGATGAGATTCTTACCCAGGTATATATTTAGGATGATGAAGTGAGGACATGAATACACCTGTGAATTAGAGTTTAGTTCTGTACAGTGTTTTTATTATAGGAATAATCTGTTTTTCTCATATGTTTTACCATAATATTAAGGCTGTCACTCCAATTCAAGGTCTGCTTTGTCTGTTGTGCAAATATTTCCTTTTAGACCGAGACTGATTTTGTATGCATTCGTTGTACACAGTGTATAAAAGAACACATAATGGGCAGGTCTTGTCTCTTCACGTTTCATCTCTGAAACAGCTGAATGAATTTGTGTTATATTTGATATTGGGACATAGTTATCAAGTAAGTTTAATGTTAGCGCATATTAGTCAATTGTAATCCTTGGTTTACATTAAGCCCAGTTTGAACTTCATCAGGTTTCTCAAAACCAATATTTTAACACTATTTGATGAAAAATAAAGATATACATGACAGAATATAGGTTTTATTAAGTTTTACAGCTTTTATATACAGGTTTTATTAAGTTTTACAGCTTTTATTTGGAACATCTGATATGGTGAATAGTTACATAATATAAGTTACACTAATTTCTGACTCTGCACAGTGTAATTAGCTTTGATACAATAGATCTTTATCTACAGTAAATGAACACCTAGGTGAATAACATATGCAAAATAGCAAGGAACACACCTTCAAATTATGTATGTCATTCGAAAAATCCCTTTCCACAAAGTATCTTGATTTTTTTATTCAAAATATGCTTCTAAAGGCTTTTTATCATGTGGTATTAATGACAACCTACTTACTTATTTCAGTTACTTGGCTGTTGAGGAAATGAGACGAGGGTCTTCTCCTTCACGTGCTGGTGAGCTGGCAATTAGGCGTATTGTTACTTACTACCCAGAGTTCGTGGGGGCAATTGTGGTACTAAAGAATGATGGCAATTATGGAGCTGCCTGCCATGGTCTTCAAAATTTCCAATTTTCAGTGTGTAACAGTGATCTTGGGCAGGTTACAGTCCATACTGTACCGTGTGTTCAGTGACCTGTCTGGAACAGTTACAAAATCATCGGAAAAACACAAAGTTATACTGCTTCTGCTTTCGATTTTAACAACTGAAGCAGTGCTGAAAGTGGGTTGGGATGACACAGTAGCATCCAATTTCTTTTCAGGGAGTCCCAAAATGATCTCATTACCACTACAGTTCCCTAAAATTATGTCAGTCTTACCCTTTCCATCTCACTTTTTCACCCTTATGAAAACATTACAAACAAAATACAATGTACACAAAAATTTTGGTCTCTGCTTTTTAACAGTCTAAACGTCCTTACCATTGCAGCAGGTTCTCAAATAAAATGTTAACATAATTCAGAGTAGCCGTTTCAGATTAAATTAATACCAAGTTATAAATAAATTAAACATATCTGAGATCTGAAGTTATTACAGTGGTGAAGATGTCCATGTTGGTCTTCTGGGATGTGGCACTGTGAACTTGTAGTTAGGTACAAACATTTCTGAGGACTGAAGATGGATGCAGTATGTTCTTCCAAACCATTAGTATGGTATCATAACGCAGAAGACCAACATGAAATCATGCCTTGTTCTTTCCATATTTACCCTTGTCTTTGCAATTCTCTGTTGCATTGCTTGTGTGGGTATATTTAGTTATTCTTTCTGAAACAGTTAATTTTGTTAATAAACACAACTTTTTCCAGAGTTGTTAAAACAGAAAATAAGGATAATGTACAGTTTACTCTCATTATTTTGGTGTAACATGATTTTGTTATATAGTGCGTAATTTTGAAATAAATATTTACATTTTCATACATAAAGTATTATTATATCACCAGTATTTTTCAGTCCTAACCTTGGTATCCTGTGTTTGTGGCTAAGTCATTCAAAAAGTTATTGGAAAAATGTATAATTTACTAACTGTTGATATGTAGTGGCAAATAATACATAGGAATAGAGAACTGGGAGGATTTGAGATGAAGTTATTGTGTCTAATTTTAAGATATCACCCTGGTCAGGAAAATGTGGATGAAGTCTTAGACTTCTTGCTGACGAAGCCTGCAGTTTGTGCAGCTTCCTTTTTTTATTCGGTTTTATGTTGCTGCATTTGGAAGGAAGATTTTTTCACTTAATTTAATTTATTAAAAATTATATTCTTTACTATCAATGCCATTTTAAAAGATAATGTTGGTATGAACTGTATTACTTTCAACTCAAAAATGGTTCATTCCACCAACTTTGCTAGTATATATATACACACACACACACAACTGTAATTATTATGTCGAAGATTCATGGAACTAATAATTTGTGGTCTTCTGGGTTGTGACAACATTCCAGACGAACACATTACCTTCACTCAGGGTAGAAGACCAAGCTGCAGAATATCAATGCATAGATGAACTAACCAGGAAAAAGAGAAGTGAATTCAGAGATCATACACTTTGCCTAGCAACTTTAAAGTAATTAAATCAAGGATAATGCTGTTAACATGACATGTATCCCACAGGATGTACCAAATTTTGGTTCAGAAAATCATGGATTGAGACGAGTATAATAGTACTAGAATGGACAAAAGTGCACTGCATGATGTAACAGACTACTAAAATACATTCTGTATGAAACTAAATAAAAGACCCTCCCCCACTTAGTCTATTACCAGAAGAGAATGCTAAGGAACATAACCAAATAAAGTTAAGTACTAAATACTCTTGCATGCCTCTGAGAAATAAGTTGCCAAATTCTGAATGTAATATAATAAAAACTCTCTCCTGATATTTCATCCTATCTGGTCATGTATAGTTAAATATTATGTAAACTCCAGTCATTATCTTAAGTAATAAAATTGAGAGAACTGCGAACTTGGAATTATCTCAGATTGCGAACAGAGGTACAAACTTTACCTGTCAGGAAGTATGGCCTCTAGGTTGTACTTTGAACCTGATGGCCCCTGAAGCCAGAGTTCTAATTCACCATACTGTGGTACTTCAAATGTTAATGTGTAATGTTTGTTCCAGCAATCGTGACACTAAAGATGCCTCAGTCCTACTTTCACTCTCCATATGCCCAATGCTAACCTCACTACTTATCAGAAGAAGCCTATCTTTCAGGATGTTGCACCATGTAGTCTCGTAGAAATTCGGAGGTGCCTACTGCTTCCATCATCAGAGCAATAAGAACCTGAAATCTCACAAAGTTATTCAATACTCTTCAATCTAACATCAAAAGTTTAAATTTTGATATAAAAATATGTAAGCCAGTACAGAAAGATTATCCTTTATCTCAGGCCATCAACTCTGTAGGATTTACTGCAACTGAAAATTCTTAAATACTGTAAATATTTATATAATACGTGAAACAACCATGTACTTCAGTATATATTTATTTATTATTTCAGTCTATACACAAACTTGATTTTTTAAAATGTTGTT